ATTATCAGATTAGTGGTTAAATCTGTTGTTAACTCAATAAAAGATCAGAGTAGGAATATATCAATGCACTTGAGTCTAGTGAATTTGGTGGTGAAGGTCATATTTCACACAGCCTAAATTTCATGACTACATCAAAGGACAACATAGTAAGACACTTTGTCAAAATCTAGGTCAGCTGAAATCAAAGTTCACTTAACATCTTAATCTGTACACATGGTTCAAATTTCATAGCTGTACATCAAAGGACAAGAAAGTAGGTCACATCATCAAAATCTAGTTCACCTGATATCAAAGTTCAATTTTACAACTAAAACTGTGCACATGGTCAAAATTTCATTGCTGTACATCAAAGGACAAGAAAGTAGGTCACTGTCCCTTGGGCAAGGCAAAATTTTGGACCCAAGGGTTTAATTCAAAACAATCTTGATACAGGTCCACCAAACAACATTTCAAGTCAAATATCTAAGCTGTAGCTTTCTCCTATTCAGAAAAGATTTGTTTTTATTTTCTGTTTTACTATGTGAACATAATGAGAAACGCTGCCCCTGGGCAGGGCTAATTTTAACACTAGGGGCATAATTAAAACAACTTTAGTAGAGAACCCATAGAATATATTATAGAGAAAACATCAAAGCTCTATGCCTTGTACCTTCAGACAAAAATATTTCTTTTTTTTTTTACTATATGTACATAGTGAAAATCAATGACTCCTGGGGGTGGGGCCAATTTTGACCTAAGGGCTATAATGTGTACAATCTTGCTAGAGGTTCACCACATAATGTTTCATGCAAAATATCTTAACTCTAGCCTTTGTAAATTTAGAAGATGATTTTTTAAGTTTTTACTATATACATATAAGAAAACCTATGGCCCATGGGGCGGGGCTAATTTTGACACAAGAGGCAAAATTTGAACAACTTTGGTAGAGTACCTATAGATGATATCATTTAACAAATATTCAAGCTCTAAGCCTTGTACCTTCAGACAATAAGATTTTTTTTTTTTACTATATGTATATATTGAAAATCAATGACCCCGGGCAGTGGCAATTTTGACCCCAGGGCTATAATTTGAACAATCTTGCTAGAAGTTCACTTCACAATGTTTCGTGCAAAATATCTAACCTCTAGCATTTGCTAGAAGAAATTTTTTTACTATAAAGTATTTACTATATACATATAAGGAAAACCAATGACCCCGGGGCAGGGCCGATTTTGACCCCAGGGCTATAATTTGAACAATCTGAGTAGAGGTCTACCAGACAATGCCTTATGCAAAATATCTAAGCTCTAGGCCTTTTGGGTCTTTACAAGAAGGTATTTTAAGTTTTTACTATATGTACATATAGTGAAAATCAATGACCCCCGGGGCGGGGCCGATTTTGACCCCAGGGCTATAATTTGAACAATCTTGGTAAGGGTCTATCAGACAATGCCTTATGCAAAATATCTAAGCTCTAGGCCTTTTGGGTCTTTACAAGAAGTTATTTTAAGTTTTTACTATATGTACATATAGTGAAAATCAATGACCCCCGGGGCGGGGCTGATTTTGCCCCCAGGGTTATAATTTGAATAATCTTGGTAGAGGTCTACCAGACAATGCCTTATGCAAAATATCTAAGCTCTAGGCCTTTTGGGTTCTTTACAAGAAGTTATTTTAAGTTTTTACTATATGTACATATAGTGAAAATCAATGACCCCCGGGCGGGGCCGATTTTGACCCCAGGGTTATAATTTGAACAATCTTGGTAGAGGTCTACCAGACAATGCCTTATGCAAAATATCTAAGCTCTATGCCTTTTGGGTCTTTACAAGAAGATTTTTTAAATTTATTCTTATAATTCCTTTTGGTTGCCATGGCAACCAGATTTCTGCATGGAATCAAATTCTTTGAACAACTTTGGAAGCCCTTCACCCAAGGATCAATCCTGCCAAGTTTGGTTGAAATTGGACAAGTGGTTTTTCACAAGAAGATTTTTTAAGTTCACTATATAATCTATATAACACACACACACACACACAAACAAACACACACACAGGTGAATCGCTATATGCCACCGCATCGCAGATGCTGCGGTGGCATAAAAATACTATAATACTGATTACTAAACATGTAAAATGATACAGTACAAGTTCATTTAACCATGTAAAGGTAAAAAAAATCTTTAGTGAAAAAATCCCTTGAATTTCAATTAGGGGGATTTCGTATTGTCCTAATTTTTTATTTCTTTATTGTGTATCTTTATTAATTATTTTTTAAACGTAACATCGCTGACTCAGCGAAAATAAATTTTTGGAAGTTAAAAAAATTTAATTTCAAAATTCTGTCACTTGTGAGGTCTTTTTTTTTCACTGGTTCCTGGGGAACAGGCCATTCTCTTTAAATAAGGGGAAATTAACACAAAATTTTTGTATAAGGGGAAGAAATTTTTTTAATGTAAATTGAATTTTGAGGAAAATTGCACATGATTTTAAAGAATTTTTCTGAGGGGAGGCAGCAAATAAACTGCCACTGTTTTAGAAAGAAAAATAGCTTTGCTAAATACAGGAATAATAATTGACTTGTTCATTATGTATGTTTATAATTTTTTGGATAAAGACAAAAGATATAAAAAAGGATTGATAGAACCATATAAATTATTCATTAACAGAGCTTGAAGCCCCATGTTCAGTTTTTCACATATTTAAATTTCTGCCATGTCACTCAAAAAATTATATATATACTAAATTAACATAGCTTTTACCAGGTACGTACCTGCTTTCCTATATATAAATTACATATACAGTTTTTACTTTGCCAGCATTTCTAGATTTAGTACCTGTACTGGTTAATTATGTATAACATAATTATATTCATTAATTTCTATTTCTTTTTTTAATAGCAAACTTATAAATATGCATTATTTCATAGAATGACATATATATTCTACTTACATGTAAGTCAATATTGGCTTTGAACAGCTTTAAGGAAGTGGTTCAACCTTTTTTTTCATATGACTCACATTGAATTTGTTTTTGGTTTTCATATGACTCAATTAAATGAACAAATATACACAAGGCTTTAACCCTTAGTAATACAAATAACATGTACCCTTTTATATAGTTTTTATCACTAGTACACAGCCAGGACAGCTTGAATATCTGTGCTGTCTGACGAGGTTCTGTTTTGTTGGCTATCAAACATTAAACTTTCATCTTCAGATTCCCCCAAAATTGATAATGAAAAATTCTAAAAGATGGAAGCTGGACAAGTCCACTCAAGAAATTTAGTAGGTTAAGGGATAACCACTTTACTATTACATTACATAAAACTAAATTAATATCTTATTAAAGGGACTCCACTGAGGTTTTTTGACATGATGGGACTGAAAATATTTTTTCCAGATAATTGTACCATTTGATGTAGGTTTAGACCACTAATCTTTGTGCAAAATTTCATATCATTCGAGCACACCGCTTTCCCAGAATAATTATTCAAATTGTAAAAAACTGACCCAAACTGAAAATTATTCTCTCAAATTAGGCTAAGAAAAGCATAAAAATACAATTTTCAATTTATTTCAAAGTATATTTCTTAAATATCTTTGCATATATTACTGTTTAAAGTGCCCCAGCTCATTTATGTAAGAATTTCAAATGTAATGTTTTAAGACTTTTAAACCTCAGTGGAGTCCCTTTAATTTAAAATGTTAAGTAATTTACTGACAAACCTGTAACGACATATTAATTTTCATCTTTTGAAAATCTCCTTAAATATTGGCCTGGAATGTTTGAATTATTAAGACTGTATACAAAACTTACTGTTCAAATCACTTTACAATGTAAATCCATGTAAATCGACAAGTTTGGGAAATCCTGATCAAGGTTCGAACCAAACCCAGTAGAGAATAAAATCAATAGCCTATTTTAACCAGCACTGGTGTTGACATGTTAGTTTACAGTTTATTTTAGTTTGATCGTTGGGAGCTATAGTATATTTTAGCTTGAATCCGTTCCTGGAACCTGAACCAGTATACTTATAAGCAATGAATGTAAAGTTTCCAGCTCAAGGGAACAATGGCTTGTTGTACTTCTTCATTTTCCTCTTATTTGAAGCTTGAGAATTATTATATACTTCAACATTATTCAGGAACATATTGTCACTATGAACATGAGTTAAGTTCTTTGAAATATAAATTGATGATTAATATTTTAATTACATCATGTAAATTAACACTGTGAAATAATTAAAAATATAAATAAATCATCTACAAACCAATATGCTATGACTGGATATGAATAAAATTAAAATATATGTAGATAAGGCAAAATGACTTATATTGTTTAATCTTTACTTCCCTTAAAACTTTTGTATATTTAAATTAAAGTCTTATAAGTCATATTTATTTATACATAGTCTTTAGTGAATTAAAATTGAAAGGTACAGTATGTATGTTATTTCGAGAGATGTTATCTGTAAGAACAAGGGTATTAACAATGGCAAACTGCTGATTTTTAAATAGATTAGGATTGTGATATACGGAAGTACATGAAGATCTTTGTTCAAGTATGTATCCCCTGAAAATTGGATCTTTAGAGAGAGATGTTTCTCCAATCTCATGTACTCCATGAGTGACAAAAATAAAGTTGTATTTTTAAATGCTTTTACATTCATAATACAAATGTAATCAGAAAAACTATCCAAAGTGATTTTGTACATAGTAACTGTACATACATTGAAAATTGTACCCATTTTGGGCTTGTAGCGATATTCAAAGCCTTGTTTCACATCTCAGAGAAAAATTGTCTTAATATTTCATACAACTACATAACTGCACAGTATACTTTGTGAACTTAAACATTCTTTATCAGTATATACATCAATGATCATATGTATCTTCTCAATGGTACTTTGGGTCAAGGTGCTACATTAGGTAGCTATGTGTCAGTATTAACTGAAAATCAAAATTACTAAATCTGAAAGCAAGGAGTTGGGGGTTTTTCATGAATATATATACTTACAAGCGCTGGAAAAACGGGACCCAACTGAACTACTGGATTTCGAGACATCTGACCTTGGCATGTTTGGTGAAGGCACGTTCTTTTCCCTGGGTTCATACACTTCTTCGTATAATTTCTCTTTCTCCTCTGGTGTAGAAGAACTCTCTGTGGATTCACATACACCTGAATCGTCACTCTGACCTGACACTGTTTCATTTTTATCCATCACATTTTCAACATTGTCATATGGAGTATCATCATCACTTCCATTATCCGTTAAGTTACCATTTTCAGCAACGCTTATTCCTGTTGAAGTCAACAAAGTTTGGAATGTCCATTTTTCATAATCAGGCACTCGACCTCTTCTGTCCTTGGCTTTCAAAGGTTCAGGTTTTTCAGAAGCATCTTTATCTAGAGTCTTCTCCAAATCAACAACGACAGTGTTCATAAGATCTTCTTCTGAGCTACTACTGCTAGACAGTGCCTTATATTGCTTACCTACAATTAACTCTTTTGCTTCATCTCCATGCTTAGCATTTAAATCACCACTTTCTCTAAGACCAAAAAGCTTTTTCATATTTTCGTCTTTTTGTTGTGAATCTTGATTAATACTTGAATATTCCACTTCAGCATAGTGACTTTCCTGTTTTAAATCGTCAAAAGACCTGCTTGAGGAACGTGTAAGCTTTCCTGTTTTTTTAGAACTTAAATCCTCCGAAGATTTAGATAATTCTCTGTCCGATCGGCTAATGCTTAGAACACTGAAATTTGAATTTTTACCAGAATTAACCCGCTTGCCTATGTCACTACCATTGCTCGAAACATTAACAAGAGTGACATGTTTGTTATCTGTGTTTACACTTCTTATCATGCAGTAATCACCTTCTACATTGTCATCAATCTCCGTATAATCCTGCATGTCATTCTTGCTTTTTATGTCCTCATTTATTTGTTTATGTCTTAAACTCGATGACAATTGCGGTTCTTGGTCACTGTACTTCAAGGTCGAGGCTTCAGTGTTTTTGAGTACATCATTGTGTTTATTATTGTCAATTCCCCTACTTTTTCTTGACGGAACTGGAGGTGCAGATCTCTTTTGATGTTGAGTATGTGACAATTTGTTTTCAAGTGGTTGCTCGCTCAAGGAAGCGTATCCTTCCTGTTTACATGATGAATCATGTTTAATTTCAGTATCTTCGCACGATTTATCTGGTTTATCAGTAGCATGTCTAGTTTGTTGACTGGGAATTCTTACAGAGCTAGGTTCATCTGTTTTTTTATTTGATCTAAGAAAAGGAAGACTTATTTCTTCATACTCATTTGCATGAGGCCTCCGTTTTGCTGCGGGCGATGGCTTTGGTGACACGGTAGGTTTAATTACAAGTCGAGCATAATCACCTTCAGGTGAGTTCAGATTGTCATCACCAGATGACGAGTCACTATGCTCAAACATTTTAATCTTATCTTTTACTGACGCCCGCGACTTCTTTTTTGCAATGCCTTCCGCATTTTTTGGGACATCACTATCAGGAGTGGCAGGCATCTCAGACCTAGAAAATCCAATTTCTTCATATGTACCACTGCTCTGACTGAACAAACGTCCAGATCCTTGGTCTAAATTTTTTGAAGCCTGGTCACTCATTTTTTTGGCAGGTGAGTCACCAATATTCAACTTGACAGGTTTGTTTACCTTTGCATACATAGCATCAACGGTGTCACTAGTGTCCTTTTTGTTTCTATGTTGTCTTGAACTGACAACTGAAGTTATTTCTTCAAAGAAGAACTCCTCATTTCTTAATTGTTTACCTAATTCATTAATCCTAGTTTTAGTTATATCTTTAACTCGTGACAACGCTTTCAAATCGCCAGCCTCAGGGTCATTTTCGCACTTTGATAACTCACATTCCAGTCGGGAAATAAATTCCGGGGGTAAATCGCACGAAAATTTACTTTTCCATGATTCTTTCATATCCTCCATTTTGATATATGTTTGGCAGTCTATATTTGCATATCTTACACTTCACCGTCTTAAATAAATAGTCCAATTAATCTCTGATTTTTACAATGAAAGTAGATCAAAACACACTTCCTCAAGTTTACGTTTCAACGGAGAATAAGTCACGATTGGTCAATATCGACATGTTTCTAAAAATAGATGACAGAAAACCCCTCACGTTTATTTACGAAGTCGCTAAAAGCACGTTCGATATTTTCCGTAAACGCATTTCCCTTTGAGGCCCGCATCAGTACTAATTTTTTATGAAAATAGCGTAGTGACCGTACATTTGTTTATCAGTACTGTACAGTACTTATATTTCACTTTTTTCAACTTAATTAAAGCTTTCGTTATGTTATCCGTGGGAAACATATAGATATATGAAATCATGACTGATTAAACATAATCTCTGTAACTGCAATTCTTTATTAATATTTATTACTTTACAGCATGGTCTTTCAAACTTGTTTCAAAATCCGAAAGTTTGAGTTATAAAATTTGAGTTTTATCAGAGACATTAGTAGACGAAGTGTCGTATGTCCAAGGTATTTGTTTGTTTTTCTTATTCTGAACATTTTCCCTTATTTCCAATGGATTAGACCTTTGCTTCTGAGAAATATCAGAAAGGATATTTTTATTTATTTATTTATTTATTTATTTATTTATTTATTTATTTATTTATTTATTTATTTATTTATTTATTTATTTATTTATTTTTTTTTTTTTTTTTTTTTTTTTTTTTTTTTTTTTTTTCCTTCCTTCCTTCCTTCCTTCCTTCCTTCCTTCCTTCCTTCCTTCCTTCATTCATTCATTCATTCATTCATTCATTCATTGTAAGAAGGCGAATATTGATGATGACAAAGTTGAGGAGCTGCTGGAAGAAGCAGAGAACGAGCTTGGAAAAGAATTGGCGAAGAAGACGCGTACGGACGGGCGTCTTTAGGAGATAGACGTAAGAGGTTGTTCCAGGCGGAAGGACGGAAGTTTCAATCGATCTAGCTCAATGCTATCCTACCCAGTTTAGAATACCCATGAACATTTTTTGTATATATTTGTGATATACACCATGTAGTATACAACACGTATATATGTACGCTTTTATTTGCGCACATGGACACGTATTTCTTTAATAATTAACACTATTTCAATTGTTTTCTCTTAATTTATTACAACACACCTCTGTCAGTGGCGTCCTTAATTTGTCACAGAAGTTCAACGAGGGAAAATTGACACATATAACAAGAAACAAGGAAATTTAAGTCACTTGAAAGTCAGGCGTATAATTGCCGGATAGATGGATACCATCTGATCAGAAAAAGGAGCGAGGAAATGCGCTCGAAAATTACTGAAACTGTTTCCGAAATATGATACGCGCCGTTTTTTCTAACATTGCGACTGGTAATGAAAGCTGGATTGACTACTTTACGACAGTTCGCAAGTGTAACAGTACATCTGTACGATGTGAGTCTCCAGAAATATTCGTCGACCATGCATTGCCGAGCGATTGCCAAACTTGTCAAGAAAGCAAATTGTAAATATTTGCTCTTTCGGTAAATTTATTGACCTTAAATATAAAATAATTAACCACCATGTTGCGATTTATCTCCAGAAAATTTAAAACTACTTATAATCAGAGAACAAGACAACGCTGTCTGCAAATTTATAATACACTATTAACCACAGACACTTGGGGTGTGGAGCTCAAAACGCCTTTAAAATCCAAATAAAATGCATATTTGTCAATCCCAGCACATGTACTGATCATATACTGTATATATAAAAAAACTTAATATTTTTATAAGTTGTTTTGAAAAAAAATCATATTTCAACGTATATAATAATAGATTTTTTTCAGAACGGCTTATATCAAGTTTTTTTATATATATGATCATTACATGTGCTGGGATTGACAAATATGCATTAATTGGATTTTAAAGGCGCATTGAGCTCCACATCCCAAGTGTCTGTGCTATTAACTAGAACAGTTAGTCAATGCCTCATATTACCACCTAATTAATGCGCATTTAAGTCTAAACATTCAAATAAATTTTCACTGTGCCTCCACGGGTCAATAAATTAATCAACAATCGTTTGATATACACATTTTTAATTGTTCATTCTGGCATACATCTTAATTAATAAATTAAGTTCTACAAATTTCTTAATCGAAGGATGAGTTATGGAAGAAAAAGTTAGTGTATGACTATCTGTATGTTTTGTTTTCATAAATTAAAAAAAAAAAATATTTGGTAATGTCATTTTAATTGTAACACGTGCATGGAGATTTTTTTTTAACGAAATTCGCGGGAAAATGTTTGCGTTTTATATACGGTACGGTACGTCAAGGACTGAAATTTTCATTGCGTACTTGCGAATTCTCGTTTTACGCGAGATTTCATAAAAATAAAAACAAAGCTTTTCAAACTCCTCGCAGCGGTTACTTCCCCTGATCTGTACAGTAACCACTGCCACCACAAGTAAATTCGGTCGAATATAGCCGGATATATTTTTTCACTTTTAATTTTAAAATAGAATACTTCATATCATTTTAGTTTTCTTTCGTTAAATAGTTATGCTTAATGTACAAGAAAGTAAAAAATTATACGTATAAAAATTATTTTGTAAACATAACGAAAGATATTTTCACTGTGACACCGTATGCATAGTAAACAATGGCAAAATATAAACAGTTATTGAACGATTGCACAAAAAGATTTGATCCGGCACTTGTTTTAAAGTGATAACAAATTGTGTGCCTTGAACTTATTTTGTCTAGTAAGATGTAATTATAAATCTGCCAGTTTGATATGGGATCCTTGGCGTTCTGAAACTGGCCGCCATGTTTTTGTCACATGATACAACTATCATCACGTGATTTCAGTGGTGGCAGTGGTTAAAGTAGCAAAGCGTGACGTAACCGCTGTGAGGAGTTTGAAAGCTTTTGTGTTGATATCTTTACACGTTTATTTGATAAATTTTACATTTCCTGACATTCCTGACAGTTTAGGCTTTTGCAGTTCCATGCGAATTAGCAAAGAAACAAGAAAATGAAGGTAATAACATTTTATTGGTTTTGAATCGTGTTTGTAAAAACTTTAAAAAGGGGGTGTTGTTTAGTAGAGGGGTGTTTAACACCAGTGCAACTGGCATTGGCACTGCAATTATAATTACTGCATGGGATTCTTACTTACAGAATTGTGCAATAGATAACTGATGGGCTATTCCAGAAATTATACGCTCCCATGGAAGGCACTTTCTTTTGACCTTTTATACAGTGGTGTAAATGTGTAAATTGAACAATTTTGTATGTCCACTCTGACAAGATAACATATAAGAAAATTAAGTTTAACCCAACATGTCTGCTTCCAAATGCGAATGGTGATATGCAATTATCATGATATAAGTTTCTAATATTAGATCTAAATACATTTGGCAGCGGTAAAGGGTCAACTCAGCCCTATACTTACTGGGCACAGGTCTAATCGGCATGGATCAACTCGGCCCATAATAATTTTAAAGACCTATAAATTAGGATATAAATTGTTTAGTTAATAAGCTTTGTTAAGGAGTAAATTACATACATACACTATCTTGAGTAGGTCTGGGACCGTTAATATATAATTATATTTCTTGTTTATATAATTTGGTTGTAGTACTTTACTGTAAACTGAATCAGTTTAACAATTATTTCAGATTCAGATGGAAGGGTTTCACAAACTCCAGGATGACTTTGAAAAGGTCATAGAGAAGGATGACTCTGCCAGTTCAATCACAACTGATTCTGAGGAAACGAAATTGGAATTTCGGAATTTGAACGAAAGACTTAAACATATTTTTCATACAAACAAATTCCAGATTTTGATAGTGTGCCTCGTTATTTTAGACTGTCTACTGGTAATTACTGAGCTTCTCATAGATCTTGAAGTGTTTCCACACTCGACAAGTGAATCCCCTGCCCCACACATTCTTCATTATGCAAGTATTTCTATTCTTGGACTGTTCTTGATTGAAACACTTGTAAGACTGGCTGTTTTCAGACTGGAATTTTTCAAGCACAAGCTGGAAGTTTTTGATGCTGTTATTGTGATTGTGTCTTTTGTTCTGGATATCATCTTTAGAAATCAAGAAGGTCCTGAAAGTGGTATTGGTCTTCTGATTGTTCTTAGACTATGGAGAGTTACCAGGATTTTAAATGGTTTGTATTTCTAGAAAGGGGGACAGTACCCTTATGGATAAGGTGTCTGCAATTAAAACCAGGGATTGTTGATAAATTTAATAATTTAACTTTTAAGCCCTATTTGGGTGACATCCGCTTTTTCTCATATTATTCTAGTATGGGTAAGGCCATGGCAGCGCACTGAAAAATCAAATGAAGTAATTAATAATGATTATTAATGTACATGTTACATGTTGCAAGAATTTATTACTGAATCATTTAAATAAATTTTTGATAAATGATGAAAAATTAAGTTTATGAGAGGTAAAGCTATAATTGATAAAAAAATTTACTTTTGAATGTTAAACACATTGTACTAGATAAATTGTATATTTTAATACCCATTTAATAAAATTTGTCTGACAGTGTTTAGAATTAAAATTTGGAATTCTAAAGCTACATGTTTGGGTAATATTTGCTTTAAGCTGTTGGTTAAAGATCTTGCTATTTTAGCAGCATTATATATTTTCATAGATATTTCTGCCCTTTCTCAGCTGTAGAAGCTATTTTTTTGTGCAGTTTTATTTCAATATTAACCATATTATAGTTTTTTATCCCTACTTTCCAGGTATCGTATTGTCGGTAAAGTTACAAGCAGAGAAAAGAGTTCAGCGCGAGCGTAGATTACGAGATGCTTGTGAGCAGGAGCTTATGAAATATCGTGAATACTGTGCGGCTCAAGAAAGCGAGATTGAAACCTTGCGTGGCCTTCTTAGAAAACATGGAATAAGTGACATGATTCAGACAGAAATTCCGAAACCAGCGAGTCGAATTGACGTTGTTGCAGAAGTTAATCAAGTCGATGATAACGGGATTGAAGTCAAAGAAAGAAGTCCCGACATGCCGCCTTCTGTGTAATTGGGTGATCTCCATTTGAAACTATGCTTCTCATATTCATTGAGACATACAAAAAGTCGCCAATTATATTGTTGGTAACAATACTAACATGTTTCTACAGACATGGCTAATTTGAGATATGATTTAGCATGCTTGAGATATGATTTAGCTGATTTGAGATATGATTTAGCTGATTTGAGATTTGATTTAGCATATTTTGATGATAATGTATGTTAGAATTACTTAAATACATCAGGGTTGTCATTAAAAGTTTGGTGTTTTGGATTTATAGCAAAATCACTTTGGGTTTTTATGTCTCATAAAGTGTTTTCAAAGTTTTCTACACTGTATGATTAATCTTTTTCTAACAGCTTATTGTTGGTAATTTATATTACTTCAGGTACATCACCATACTTACTATTACTGTTTCAAAGGAAAAAGTCGAGCTATTATGATTGCTGCAAAATCTTGGAATACTTTCTTATCATGACAAAAGGTAGAACTTTGTAAAACAAGAGACATAATTCTTAAAGCTATATTTTTAGAGTTATGCCCCTTTTTTAACTTAGAATTTTGGTGAAAAGTTGTTATTTCAACAGATGGGCATTAACACCTCATGCAGTTCTCTTATTTGTTATTTTAAACAATCTGTTGAATGTAAAAAATGTTAATATATTTCGATAAAGTACATGTACTAATGCCAGTTTGTAGCTCAAATTAGCCAAATCTTTAGAAACATGCATTTATATTATTATGCATTTAACATGAATGTGCTATTAGAATTCTATAAAGGGAAATAGTCGACCTTTAATGATAATCAGTAATACTAATGAAGATGCAGCATTCTAGGGTGTTTTATTTATATCTAGAGGCCTTTGTGTTACTTAAAGAATGCAGTATTTAGTATTGCTGATTATCATAATATGCTCATTTCAAGATGGCCGACCCAAATGATTATCTTGGTGAAAATTCTACATGTTCAAGGCCTCAAGCAACTTTTTGCCAAAATTTTCCACCTTAACCAACTTGCCAGTTATCTAATTGGTAATATAGAAGTTTATGAAAGGCATAATGTATAATTATTGTGTTCCTCACCTCACTCTTCATTTAACTTTGACAAAATGTTTGATTTCAATTTAGTTCTGGCTTCCAAAACTTTATATGCCGCTTTTAAAATGTCATGTCACAGTTTTATAAACGGGTACGCTGAAGACCTTTAGCTAATTTCAATTCAGCTAGCATACATATAGCATCCATATTTAACCTGAGAATAAAAAAAAATGGTTTAAGTTTGTGCTTTTTACCATTGACCCTCTCAAATAATGAAGAAAAAAAATGCAATTGTTATGTTGCCTTAAATTGAGTGAATTAGTGTGTTTGCACGATATCAAATTTGGTAAAATCACATAGGTCGGCCATCTTGATATTATTTATGAAATGAACAAGTGCATTTATTGTAATATTATAGAATCTTTAGTCAGAAGGAGAAATTGTCTGTAGCTTTTTTTAAAAGAAGTGTAAATTTTTACTTTATGATTGATATATGTTCATATTGAATCTTGCCGCAAGTGAAATTTCATTCATTTTAAATTTTTTCATCCTCATTTTTTTGCATTATGTATATTTCACTTTGTCATTCATTTTTTCTTCATTGATCATGCATTACACATACACGATATCAAAACATTATTTGCATTCACAAGAACTTAAAATTGCCTTAATATACCATTGTTTTTGCTGAAAGTTTTTTCAGTAGCATTTTTTGATGATCAATCATTTAAAGTCACATAGAAATTTGATTGTTATTTCAATGTTTGTTAAGAATGCCTAAAGAGGTTTTTGGCATAATGAGTACATGTATATCATCACCTTAGTGCAATAACTGATTAACTGCTATTAAATTTAGAAAGACTTATTCCGTTATTGCACTAAGGGGATAATATACCCTTTTGGCACAAATACATATTTGCTATTCACAAAATTTATAGGGCTTTTTGGTGCATTTGGTAAATGCACCTTTGACATTAATTGGCAAATGCCAGTTTTGCACTGTATGTTTAATGTGTCTTTTTGTTGCAAAAGAAGGTTAAAAATGTGTACATTTTACTGTATGAAAGTTTATGCCTAAGACCTTTTTGACACAATACGTATTTCCCCTCTATTACAAATATTTATATGCAAATCTGGCATATACACATGGGCTGATACCTTATAATAGGCTTATAACATTTTGGTGCAAGTAGATTTATGCCTAAATTAGCCCTAATTGACACAGATAGTGATACATATATGTTATTTTGGCAAAAATATACATAAATGCCGTGTTGGCACAAAAAGGTATAAATTATTTATAAGCACAAATAGCCTATATACATGTAGGTATGCCTTTTATCCCTTCAGGATGACAAATTTAAGCTTTTTGGGGCTATCCATTGTTAATCTGAAATATTTTGATATCAGGATGGTAGAAATATGTGAAACACAAAAATGGGGTCTAGGTAGACTGTAAATATATGCAGTCTGACCTTTCTGTACTAATGGAATGCTGGTGACATAGACCTGAATTTTTTTCTAGTATTCAAAGAGTTCAGTAGTACTTATATTACCATCTTTTGCTGTTATAATAAATGTTTTGAATGGGACCATGTTCTGATGTATATTGATTTTATTGATATGTTTACATTTTTTAATCATTTTTCTATTTAAAAAAGAAAACATAATTGATGTAGTTTGATGTTATGGCTTTTCTATACTTAAGTAAGTATATACTTGTTAAATTAGTTTGAATCTCAGCATTTTCCCAGTACAGTTTTCTGCTTTACATTTCATATGATTGAATTCATTTCTAATACAGAATGATGAGTTAAAGATACAGGGGAGATAATTAAAATTTAAAAAAAGTCCTAAAAAAAGACCAGATTTTTTTTAAGTAAACCCTACCTTGCAGAAATGGAAAATGATTAGCCTGGAGCCAGGCCAGCCTGCTTTTCCATGCAGTTTGACAAGGCTCTTTACTGTTGGCTGACTTATTTTAAATTTTATTTTTGAAATCTTCTAAATTGATATTGTTCATAATGTGTGAAGATTTAGCACTTTGTGTACAGTTTTTGGTATTTTCTGACTCTTTGAAACTTCATGTTCAGATGCAGTGTAAACACTTACTAAAATTTGGTCCTATTTATAATATAAGAATTGATAAAGTTACATAGTTGAATGGAATAATAGAAAATAATACATGTAGTTTTATCAATTGGCTTGAAATAATTTACTAACAGAATGGTAGAAAGTATTCTGATCTTTTTTTTCTCTCTGATAATTCAAAATCTCATAATATATTCGTAAATCTGTTTATCCTTCATTTTTACATGATCATTGTTTAATGTTGTATTTCTCCCTCATTTATCCTTATCCTGTTGGAACCGAAATTGATGTTCAGTTTGAACTGCAAAGTCATTATTATTTGTCCACAAAGTTAAGACTGAACAAAATTTCATTTCATCTGCTGTAAGATTATTTTGCATCACATTATTTACAATGACCTTTTGGAAAAAAAAGACTGTCCACAAATTTAAGAACCCACAAAAGTGTTCTTTGTGACAAAACACAAAATTTCATGCCCACAAAATTAAGTGAATTAGTAGCCTTTTGCCCCCAGTATACGAGTATACCAGGTCTGTCTGAACTTCCAGGCAGTTTGCCCAGGGTGTTTACTGTTACTTTCCTAAATTCTGTATTTAATTCTGAAATCCCTAAAACCTTTTAATGGACTATTCCCATTTCAAAGCTGGGTAAATTCATTACTTATATTCAGCAAGGGCAGGTTTAAAGCTGGAAAATGCTATGACACCTTGTTTAAAATCCTTCTAGAAAAAAAGAGAAAAAATTTGGCCTGTATGTTACTTGTCTATCGTTAAGTTAAATTTTTACTTTTGTGGAGTCAGAATGTACAATGTACATAGATTTCTTACAGCTTTTAAAAATGTTTTGCCGCTGTTACATTTGATAAAAGTTTATTCTTTGTTGTTGTTTAGTATTGTTCTTCTCTAGTTCTGACTTATAAACAGCTGATTTTGGGTGTTTCTTTAAGATTTCCATGTTAAAGGGTGAATACTTGGACTTGCCAGTATGACTTCTTTTCATAATATTGTTTTTTAACTTTAAATTATTGTTGTAAAGGGGTTTGTCACTAGTGTTGTAGATGTGAACTGGATTTGTGTTTTATTGAAGTGCTATATTTTCTGTCTAAATTGGTTTCACGTGTTGATCTAATCTGATGATTTAGTGCATTAACAAGTTTAGTGTTTATTTTTTTCAGTGCTAGCTATTTTTTATACAAATGTCGACTTGTTTTACTCTTTATCTTTTTATCAGAAAATGATTCTGCATGTTCAAAGTCCCACCTTAACACTCCTAAAAATATGCAATGGACTATCTGTGAATTGAATTTTGTACTATCCACTGTTACTTTAAGGAGTTTTAGCATCAATGTATGTATCCCTGGCTCTAGTATTGATGATATAGTCAAGTCATCTTCATGACTAGTGCTGAGAGGGTTTGTTGTCTTGAAACGAGTTGTAAAACATTCTAAGAATACTGATATTTGTGCTGAAAGTCCCAGGGTATGTTTTTTGAGCCTAGTTGTAACAATATTCTCACAATACTGATACACTGTATGATGAATATGTTTAGTCATATCTGATGCCTAACTTTATCATTATCATACATATATATTATAAAACAATTTCAACTAGATGTATTCTTTGACCTAATTTAATGATTAAAACAACAAAAAAACGGAAATTAACTCATTGGTAGGTGGGTCTGAAAGATACATGTATAACAGTATGTACTTATTTCTTATGTCTTTTAAGTGGGATTTTTTTCTATTTACTTATCTGATTACAGCAAACAAATTGATTTCATGTTTATTTTTATCATTTCAGTTTAGATATTACTTTCTAGAGCTATATGACTTACTGTTTAACTAAACAATGCAAATTTATGTTTTCACTTGTTAGCCAGCATGTTTGAGCACCTTTAGTAGTCAAGATTTGTGTCAACATTGTGAACAATGCAATTATATGTATTTTTTAAAATTTGTAAATTCTACTAAAGGATTGTTCTTTGAGTTGTGTGTGTTTGAAAAAAAATAATTTGAGAATTTTTTTTGTGAAATTTGTCATTTTAAGTTATTTCTTTAAATTTGAGTATTTTTTTTCTTGTTATTTGTTTGAATTTTATTGTGGAACTGAAAACTTTGTGAGAGGTCAAACATTCATATTACACTGGAAAAAAACTTGTCATAAATACAGATTATTTTTTTCTTAAATCGTAACAAATTAGATGATTTGTTTTCATTTACATTATCATACAATATATGAGCCGCATCACGAAAAAACCAACATAATGGGTTTGCGACCAGCATGGATCCAGACCAGCCTATGCATCTGCGCAGTCTGATCAGGATCCATGCTGTTCGCTTACCAATTCTATTACAAGTAGAGAAACTGATAGCGAACATCATGGATCCTAATCAGACTGCACGGATGCGCAGACTGGTCTGGATCCATGCTGGTCGCAAACCCATTATGTTGGTTTTGTCGTGACGCAGCTCATATAGAATCTACAAGCATTATACCATGGTATATAATACATGATACACTATAGTATACCATGATGTTACTTGTTCAATTACTATTTGGAAGGTTGAAACACATAATAAAATCAATATCAAAAGTAAGTTTTTTGAGAACTCGATCACTGTAATATTATCAGCACATGCATTGCATAGCTGCCTGAAGTAAATATTAATAAATATTGTGGGAATTCAAGAAGCCAAAGCAATTTGTTAATGATTTTACATGACAACAATGTGAGTCAACATCTTAAAAGCATTAGTATAAAATATTAGTGAGTAAGATATATATGTGTCTCTTGAAAGTAAAAAAAAAGTCTTTTGCAATAAAATTTTGTTATACAAAAAGTTATTTATCACAATCTTCAGCAATGATTTTATTTCACTTTTGCACTGCATATATTCGAGCAATCTCTGAAAATCTTTTTAAAATTAGAAACTATTTACACCACTTTTCACATTTATAGATACACATTTTGATCATTCTTTAAAAAAAAAAACCCACAAAATTTTGTTCTGTCCCAGAAAATTCACTTAAAAAAGCATTGTCATTTTCACATTTTGGCATTAAATATTTACATATTTTGTACTCATAATACTCTAATAGACTGTGATATATGATTATAATTAGCTCTTAGAGGATATTATCAAGTTTGTAGACAAGTCTATGAAAGAAGTGCTTCCATTGGTCAATTTTAAACCTTTGTTTAAATAAACCAATCAGATGCAAGAGATACTAGACTGGTTTACAAACTTGACAATCATCATCCAGTGAGCTTTATCAGAGATTTGAATACATATGTGTTTTTTGTCTGTATGTTATATGGTATCTTTGTGAATGTTTAAAGGCATGCAGGCATGTTAAAAAGAAATCAATTGTACAAATTTTCCTTTTGTTGTAACAATATATATATATATATGTTTAACTACTATATTGCTTTCTGCAAGTTCTTTGTGAAAAATATTAATGTGAAATTTTATCTCAATTAAAAAGATCTTTATTATGTATTAATAGCAATTATCACATAAACCGCGGCGCAGGAGTGTAATAAAGCCATTTAATAAAAACGATATTACACTAGTGTCATAACACTTTGACGTGACGTCATTTGCGCTATAGAGAAACATAGCGTTAAAGCGCGCTAATGTTATGGTTACACTATAAACGCGTCATTGAAAAATTACTCATTTTAATAGTTTACTGTTCTTATTTTATATATGTCATAAAAAGAATATTATATTCGTGTAGATTCAATACTAAATTTATTGAACTCGTTGAATAAAACAATATTATGCTCGCCAGAGGCTCGCATAATATGATTTTATTCAACTCGTTCAATAAATTTAGTATTTAACTACACTCATTCAATATCCTCTATTTACCTTTATACAGTGAATATGTCAACTATAGATTTTTGTAAACTGGTAACATATAAAGATGTTTGGTGTTAAGGTTGTTTTGTATTTTCAAAATGTTACTTATTTTCAAACAGTACCTTTCCTGAACAGACATGAAACAGACCGTTTTAGTAAATGAACAATATTTAAATGTTAACGAAAATACTATTTTAGAATAAGTCAATTTTCACACACCATGGTACAGTGGTATTAAATTTTTCCAGCATATTGTAACATTGTACATTGTTATTATAAAAAAGAAATTAATTTATTATACTGAAATTTAAATCGTGCATCTTGCCTTTACATGACCATCAATTTTTAAGTCAATTATATATGAAATTAACTGGCTCAAACTGCAAAGTTTTCAAGATGGCACAACATATGCATTTTAAAAAAGTCATTCTAGCACATGTTCATATTACAGTGGAATCATTGACACACACTTTGAGGAGGGACAAGTTTGTATATGAAAAAAATAGTAAAATAATAATCTTGAATGAAAAGTTAACTCAATATTGATTTTTTTCCCTCAATATGCATGGATTTATGCAAATATTTTTGTTTATTTTTTTTTATAATAAGCCTGATATAGGCAGATCTAAATGATTCCATATGGTGTTTAAACATTTTATTTTGAAGGGAGGTTTTGTTAAATTGTATATGTATATATACACTAAATGACTTTTTTATACATGTAGTTTGAGCACATTTTTGATGTAAATATTGTTTAATTGAACTCTTATAATCTCTTTAAGTCTATTTCGTTGGAAAATATACATTTGTTTATGTTATATGATTTACTTAAAATGTAGTTTACACTGATTAAGAAATCAGAAGTTGTAATATTAAAGGGGCTTCACTGCGGGATTTTTGACGTGACGGAACTGGAAATAAATTTTCGAGATTAATGTTCCATTTAATGTAGAACTATAGAATAATATCTTGCGTGCAGAATTTTAGATCATTCACTAGCTCGGGTTTTCCAGAAGAATTATTCTGAGAACTATTCTTATTGTGAAAACTGACCCAAGATTGAAAAGCGTTGCAACGTTTTTCACTGAAATCTGGCAAGAATAGCTTAGAAAAACAATTTCAGATTGATATCCAAGTATATTTCTTAATTAACTGTTGCATATTTTTCTTTTTCAATGCCCATGCTGATCAAGTAAGTAATTTAAATTTTATGTTTTCAGGCTTTTGGACCTCAGTGGAGTCCTTTTAAGTTTGCAGTCCATGAATTCGATCTGGATTCATTTGAAACTTAATTTGATTTGGAAACATGAATGTCAGAGATAATCTGTAACTCCTTGATATTCAAGTTCAATTTTCATACATAGTTACAGCCCCTTAATTTCAAATGTTTTTTATTTACTTCTTATTTCCCTTTCACTCTGCATATTCAAATGTAATTAAGATTCATTTTTTGCCAAGAGTTACATCACCTTAATTTTTTTATTATCACATCTACTTTGATTTAAATTCTCCACACAGTTTTGCCCCTTAATGTTTGAGTTATCAAACCTAATTTGATCTGTTTTTATTCAGAGTTACAGCCCCTTTGGTGTATTTTAAAGGATTTACATAAGTATGTATTCTCTATCTTTTTTAGTTATTTTGAGAATTGGTTTACAAGGAATTTAATATGGTTTGGAAGTGCAAGCACTATATTGCATTTAATAATCATTTGTTATATTTATGTATAAGTAGGTATTATGCTATATATAATGTATTTGAATGACAATTTATAATGATTCATTTTGATGACATGTACAAATTATGATGATCAATATCAAATAAAATATTTGAAATGATAATTAAGTCTTAAGTATTTTATTAACCTGTACCATCCCAGCAACTGAATCTAGGCACGTGTCGACTGATAATGGTCTGCACTGGTCACTATTCGGCTTGTACATATTCTGTAAATTTTCCTGTCTAAATATGACGTATGATTTTGTCCAGAATAAGTGATGGAGAAGTCCGTTCTAGATATGAAGCATGTTAAGTTGGTAAAGGTTTAAGTGGAAAGATCTAAAAATGGGCACATTTTCCGTAAGTCTTTCAAATATTGATAAAAAAAACATGTGTAGAAATATATGTATTGATATTATTATGAAATATTGACTGAAAAAAATGTTTACGTTCTAAATGATTCAGTATGAACATTAAAATATGATGAATGATAATATTCTGTTTTAGAAAAATTTATCTGCTATATGAATATATGTAATATCGGACCAAGTATCTCACACTTGCCAATAACATCCATCTATAATTCTTACGTGGTGAGTTGTAAAGTCTGATACATAATGCTATCAGCATAGTTATTTATTTGATTACAGACCTTCCATTATAGACAAATTCACTAAAATATTTTGTAATGCACATGTAAATTTTGGAAATATCTTTTCCAACACTTCAGAGGGACTTACCGACTTGCCTATTGCTCGTTGACAACTTGCAGGCAATTCATTTTCACCTGCAGAGTTAGAAATAAATATTCCTTATATGGGTAAAAGGGGGATAAAGAATTGTTTATTCATCTAGTACTTTTATGGGTGTTAGACATAAATATATGGAGATATTGAGTACCAAATAGATCTATATACTATACTCATATTTACTCGAATTTCTCCAATTGTTTACGGTACAGATGTTCATAATGATTACTGGAACAATTGGAATTGTTGACGGATGAGGCACTACAACTATGGGAATCGTACGCCGTCAATAACATAACAACACTGTCAATCAGAACAGAACACATTGTTGGTATCATAATTGCTTGATAGCAACAATGGAAATCATAGTAACATCATATGCTGTATGGGAAAAAGGAGAACCGGAAAACTCATTGTTTCCCTCTTGATCTTGCTTTCATTGTTGCTATGCGAATCTATTACCTTAATCATTCGATCTAGCTTGCTTTCATTGTTGCAACGCAGTCATCTATGGCCTTTAACACTCTATCATCTTGCTTTCATTGATGCTATGGGGAATTATGATCTTAACCACTCGATGTAGCTGTCTTTCATTATTTCTATGCAGCATCTCTGAACTTGACCACTCGATCTAGCTTGCTTCCTTTTTGTTGCTACGCAGCGTCTATGAACTTTACCACTCGATCTTCCTTTCATTGATGCTATGCAGCATCAATGACCCTTACCATTTTATTATCTTGCCTTTATTGTTACTATGGATCATCTATGACCTTAACAATTCGATCTTGCTTTCATTGTTGCTATGCAGCATCCATTACTTAACCACACGGTCTAGCTTACTTTCAGTGTTGCTATGCAACATCCATAACCTCAACTACACGATCTAGCTTGCTTTCATTGTTGCTATGCAACATCCATGACCTCAACTACACGATCTAGCTTTCTTTCATTGTTGCTATGCAACATCCATTACTTCAACTACACGATCTAGCTTGCTTTCATTGTTGCTATGCAACATCTATGACCTTTACTTCACGGTATAGCTTGCTTTCATTGTTGCTATGCAGCATCTATGACCTTTACTTCACGGTATAGCTTGCTTTCATTGTTGCTATGCAGCATCCATTACCTTAACCACACGGTCTAGCTTGCTTTCATTGTTGCTATGCAACATCCATGACCTCAACTACACGATCTAGCTTGCTTTCATTGTTGCTATGCAACATCCATGACTTCAACTACACGGTCTAGCTTACTTTCAGTGTTGCTATGCAACATCCATAACCTCAACTACACGATCTAGCTTGCTTTCATTGTTGCTATGCAACATCCATGACCTCAACTACACGGTCTAGCTTGCTTTCATTGTTGCTATGCAGCATCTATGACCTTTACTTCAAAATATAGCTTGCTTTCATTGTTGCTATGCAGCATCCATTACCTTAACCACACGGTCTAGCTTGCTTTCATTGTTGCTATGCAACATCCATGACCTCAACTACACGATCTAGCTTGCTTTCATTGTTGCTATGCAACATCCATGACCTCAACCACACGGTCTAGCTTGCTTTCATTGTTGCTATGCAAACATCCATGACTTCAACTACACGATCTAGCTTGCTTTCATTGTTGCTATGCAACATCCATGACCTCAACTACACGGTCTAGCTTCCTTTCATTGTTGCTATGCAACATCCATGACTTCAACTACACGGTCTAGCTTACTTTCATTGTTGCTATGCAGAAAATATGACCTTTACCTCACGATCTAGCTTGCTTTCATTGTTGCTATGCAGAAAATATGACCTTTACTTCACGATATAGCTTGCTTTCATTGTTGCTATGCAGCATCCATTACCTTAACCACACGGTCAAGCTTACTTTTATTGTTGCTATGCAACATCCATGACCTCAACTACACGGTCTAGCTTGCTTTTTATTGTTGCTATGCAACATCCATGACTTCAACTACACGATCTAGCTTGCTTTCATTGTTGCTATGCAACATCCATGACTTCAACTACACGGTCTAGCTTGCTTTCATTTGTTGCTATGCAACATCCATGACTTCAACTACACGGTCTAGCTTGCTTTCATTGTTGCTATGCAACATCCATGACCTCAACTACACGGTCTAGCTTGCTTTCATTGTTGCTATGCAACATCCATGACTTCAACTACACGGTCTAGCTTGCTTTCATTGTTGCTATGCAGAAAATATGACCTTTACCTCACGATCTAGCTTGCTTTCATTGTTGCTATGCAGCATCCATTACCTTAACCACACGGTCAAGCTTACTTTTATTGTTGCTATGCAACATCCATGACCTCAACTACACGGTCTAGCTTACTTTCATTGTTGCTATGCAGCAACTATGACCTTTACCTTACGATCTGCTTGCTTTCATTGTTGCTATGCAGCAGCCATTACCTTAACCACACGGTCTAGCTTGCTTTCATTAATGCTATGCAACATTCATGACCTCAACTACACGGTCTAGCTTACTTTCATTGTTGCTATGCAGAATCTATGACCTTTATCTCACGATCTGGCTTGCTTTTATTGTGGCTATGCAGCATCCATTTCCTTAACCAAACGGTCTAGCTTGCTTTCATTGTTGCTATGCAACATCCATGAGCTCAACTACACGGTCTAGCTTGCTTTCATTGTTGCTATGCAACATCCATGACATCAACTACACGGTCTAGCTTGCTTTCATTGTTGCTATGCAACATCCATGACCTCAACTACACGATCTAGCTTTCTTTCATTGTTGCAGCATCTATGAACTTTACCA